TAAAATTTAAAACAAGGGTTAGAAAAACTCCCTGAGGTCTCATGACCTAGCTAGTAGCACGTCCTCTTTATTTTCATCAAGGGTCGAACGCACCCCACAATTAAGCTCAAACATGCTCATTGGTTTTTTTTTTTTTTTTTTTTTTGGTATTCAACCGATAGGGACGTGCACTGTGTAGTTGAAATTATATTTCAACGGACATGAATTCTTCGGAAACAGTCTCTTTACCTTGAAGTAGGGGTATAATCTACGTATGTTCTATTCTTCTCAGACTCCAATCACTCCATCTATAAAATTTCACTGAATATGTTATTATTGTTATGCAATTAATGATATGATCAGAAGCAATAACAACAATCTAAAAAATGAAATAAAAAAAAATTAGGATGAAGAGATAAATGAATTTAATTGTGAATAAAAAGGGATCTCGTCAAAAACAGTAACCAAGTCAAATGATTAATTAGATCAATATTTTATGGTTCATACGTCTAGTCAAGAGAATTTGTGACACCAAAAATTCTAACTGTTATATTTTCTTGCATATTTTGTTGGAAATATAAAGTGGGCTCTTGATGATATTACTATAAAGGAACAAAAAGGATGAAAGAGTGAGATATATAAACATTTAGCTCATTTGATATCATTAGAAAAAGAATTATATATATAGGTGCTAAAAGAGTCTTCTAAAATAACATTTATTAATTAAGTACTTTCATAATATAAATAATCTTTCTCTGCGCTACTCTTCCGAGACTTTTGCTTGTAGTTCAGTGTATTTGACTTTTTCTTGCAAATACTTTCTGAACCACTTTTTAAGGAATGTCAAGTATGCATATTTATGAATCCTCCGTTCATGAATGGAATATGCGATAGAAATTCATCAAAGATTGCTAAAATGTTTCTTTTTTGATAAAAAGATTGAATTTCTTAACTTGACGTGGGAAGTGGAGGTTCTGAAGACCACAGAAAGAGTTGAAGGCGGCTGAGCACATCCCATTCCACAAGAGTCAACCTTCAACGGGTTAAACGTGCCATAAATGGCTTTTAGTGGACTCAAAAAAGAAATCAAATTGGTTTCAACACTACTTACGATATTCCATTCAGTCCCTCACTTGCTTCAGCTTCAGCCACTCGAATTTCCGATATTCCTTTTTATATCTCATCAAACGATTGACATCTTCTTTCTGAAAATCCTACATACACTTGAATCTAACCACATTGATATAATAAAAATTACCTAGATATATAAAACAAAAGATCATGCACCTAGGATAACTAAAAGACATGAATCTAGGCACTTCAAACATTTAAGTTCACTATTTTGAACATTCTCCTTTTAAACTTAAATTATTATTTTTTAATATTCTTCAAACTTAACAATTTCAATTTCATTTTCAGCATCCTAGCTAGCTCTTTGTTTACATGTTCACAACTACATATAGACAATTCATTCTCCATCACCATCTAACTTTTGGCTATACTAAACACAAACTCACAAAAGACTTGATCTCTTGTCTTCTTTTCCTATCTTGTGAAGTCCTTCAAGACCTACATTTTCTTGATTAGTTATTATCTTCACAAATTTGGAGCATTAACTCTTCTTTTGCAAATGGCCAGCCTCCCAACAAGTCCTCAAATTTAGACACACACTTTTCAATGGAAATTGCCAGAATCTTTCATCTTTACAATTTCAGGATTGAACTAATGCTCTTATATCATTTGTTAGAAATATAAACATGTCCTTGATAACATCATAGACACAAAGAGGATAGAAGAGTGAGATAAACATTTATCGCTTTGATATCATTAGAAAAACTTCACTCTTACTCCCTCCGTTCAACAATAGTTGTCCACAGTACTAATATAGTAATATTACTCTTATTATTTATTGTTTCTTAAGGGGTGACCTTTCAAAGGGGCTTATACAGGTACTAATAGAGTCTTTCCAAATAACACCTATAAATTAAAGTATTTTCACATACACTTGAATCTAATCACATTAATACCATAAAAGTTATCTTGATATATAACACAAAAGATCATGCATTTAGGATAACAAATAGACATATAATCTAGACATGACTTAAATATTTAAGTATTACTATTTTCAACGTATATATATGGTCGACATGTGAAGAAAAAATAATCTACATATTAATCTACATATTAATTACTCAATCAATTAATCTCAATCATATCCATATTTTTACCTTAAGCAATATAACTAGAGATCCCCGCTAGCTCTTCCTCTTTTTTTCTATCTTGACTTGGACTGAATTGAAAAAATAATAATGAAGGTTATACCTTTTCCTATAATTTCTCCATCTAGTGACTAGACCAGAATTTTTACTCTAAAACTTAAAACGCAAAAAAAAAAAAACATAAAAAAAAGAAGTCAAAAGGGATTCACTTTTAGTATAGAAAGGAATATGCAATTGAAACAGAAACACTTTATTAGAATGCCTAGAGCCCTTTTACAGTAAGATCTAGAAGTTTGTTTTTTTGCTCACTTGTATAGAAAATTCCAACCCTACTTTGTGATATTTATGAATACCACTATTAGAAATTTCCATTTTTTTAAAAAAAAAATCATAGTAATTCAACTATAGTATATATTTGTTCATACAAAAAAATTGACCTATCAACATATATAGTTAATTTTCCGACAAAGGAATATCAATTGACTCCCTGAACAAGGGTAGGTCAACAAATAATGGCTTAAACGGAATTATTTAATTTTCGACAAGCACAATTAGACCCTTATTGCAACAAAAAGTAATAAAGAAGAAGAAATTGTTGCTACTTATTGATAGCTAGGGCTTACTTGAGACTTGGGAGTTTCCTCAATCAAGGGAGATACAAATTCCGCGAAACCATCAACAGGTGATGCTGCCACATGATCTGATCTTTCCTCGTACAGAGCAATAGAAAAGTTTAGATCATGCTGGCAGCTTCAACTGCTAGTGGTTCACGATCCGATATTCTTCACATCGGTCCTAGATCCACAACTTATAAGAGTACTTGAAATGTATATTAACACACAAGTACTTGAAATTAAGTATAGGAAGTGGATGTGTATATATAAAGGGGTGGATGGAAAGAATGCACCCCTTTATCTTTGGGGATCTATCTAGGTAAGTCTTTGGGATATTTCTTTATGAGTTTAGGTATAATTTATTAGGGTGTAGGGGGGGTGAAAAGCTAGTTGTGAAAGATGCATAAATGTAATAATTCATATGGAAGTGGTCCAACTATATATTACGCTATATATCTAATATCATATAGTGAGACAACTTGAATATAATCACGCCCACGCCACAAACCCATGCAGACAAATTAAAGGCAATCACCTCTTTCAGACTTTCCAAAATATACCCCCCTTTTGAAGCCTTAACTTTTGTGGATATGTGTTTAGCTTATAATACTCCCAAAGTTTATTTTTACTTGTCACGATTTATTTTATTTTATGAATGTTAATTTGATTAATCTTTGAAACTAAATTGAATTAGATTATTTTGATATTTAAAACTCAGATGTTCGAAAACTATACGAAAACATTAAGAGTACATCTTAGAATGTTGGTCAAATTAAAGTCTATGCAGTTTGACTCTCGTGAAGTGAAACATGACAAGTAAAAGTGAATAAGGTAGTACTATTTGAATTACGTGACAATCTTATTTAAAAGCAAAAGTTATTAGAAATAATATATTTCTAATTATTATGTTTCTTAGTTTTCTTATATGCGGATTTGATTCTTTTTCATGGTTAAATACATGCATAGAGTTTAATTTTTTTTGGGATGACTATGATGTTTTTAGACCTATGACTCGGTGGAAAAATAAGAGTTTACTAAGAGAATTCAAAATATAAAAATGTAAATATACGAAGAAGTCATGAAAGAAATTGAACATCTAGTATATATATGTGAAAAAATAATTTTGACGTTATAAAATTAAACTTAATAAAGACAAAAAAACACTAGGCGATTCTTCCTATCTGTCCTAGCTTTGGTGGATAGAGTTACTTGATACCTGTTACTATGAGAGGTGATCAGGTATCCTGTGAAATTAGTCAAGGTGCATGAAAGCTGACCCAAGCACCATGATCGATCAATTAAAAAACTCGACATTACGTATAATGTAATTTTCTAATAAAGAAAGTTCAGATGAACCCCTAGCTCCGCCAATGATCTTGTCTATTATAATGCTATATGAAATTGCATAATCATGTTATAAAATAAAAAAGATAATGTAATTACTTATATTATGTGTCAGCCAAACAAATTGAATCAATGGGGATGGTCTGGTCTTTAAAGTAGGAAAATTACTTTATGACGAACCACCCATTCATGTTTTCTTCTTTGATCACATGTCTGTCTCCACCACTTGTAAGACAAACAAGTTGAATATCCACGCAAAACGAGAGATTAACACATGCTTCTTCATCTTCATGGTGGGGGACCGTTAATTCATAATTTTAATGATGGGCGGAGTTAGGGTACTCGAAGGGGTTTATCTGAATTTCCTTTGACAAAAAATTATATTATGTATGACAATATAAGGTCAAAATAATAAACATTATTGACTTTTTTGTATATTTTGTTTTTATATTTTAAATATATTTAATGAAAATTCTGACTCGGGGATAAAACTATTAAAAGCCTCAAGAAAAGACAAAGATATGTAAAAGCATGATGAGATCTTCTCTCACTTGTCAAACCAAACAATACATTCACTTTCATGTGATTGTGGTGACTAATCGATGATATCATATCAAGGTAATATTTAATGTTTCATAATAAATAAAGTTCATTTCCCTTTTGAAATATATCTATCTTGTCTTTAAATTGTTCAATGAGGATTGAGGGGTTCATTTACAAATATGGAATGTCATTTGTTGGTGGCTTTTCATATGCCAATGGCAAATTACTTTTCCTATGCCAATGGCAAATTAGTCACAAATTTTTATATAATAAAAATTCAAAAATTATGAAAATGAAAAACAAATGTTGATCTATTTATCTATTAAAGGGATTCAAAATTTTGTATATTTTCTTAAAATTTTTTTACCTGTTTTGTCCCATTTTATGTAACACTATTTGACTTAATACAAAAGTTAAGAAAAGAATATATATTTTTTTGTAATATGTGATTTAGAATAAACCTTAAACATTTGTATTACTAGAAATCATTTTATTTAGAATATTTGGACGAAAGAAAAGTGTATACCACGTAAATTCGAACAAAGAGAGTATTATTTTTGTCTTATTTGCTCAAAATACCGTTTGAGTTCAATTGAATCTCTTCCTTCAATGGCAGAGCTACGCGTTTGACGGAAAAATACACTATATATATTTAAAATTATTTTATATATCTATATAGTAGATGTTAAATTTCTGATTTTATATTTTAATTTGAATTCCTTTTAAGAAAATCTGAATTTATACCCCTCTCTATTTCTTGTCAATAACTCATAAAAAGAGAGTTGCTAAATGTAGCGTTGATTTATGTTGTATAGTTGTGGAGATTGGAGTCTAATCAGTAAAGGTATATTATTTGATGTTTGAATTACTTTTTCATGTAACAATAAAAGAAATTCACGATCCTTATGATGACAAGCAGTTATGATTTTGACATTTTATTGTTTTAAACTTGTTTTGATTCCTTTGGTTGGTTTGACAAGATAGGAACCAATTGGATGTATGCAGTGTCAAAAGTAGAAAAAATAACTATTTTTATAAACAAGTTCCCAACTTATTGGTTTGAATAAGGCAATAACACCTATTCTATTCACTCTTCTACTTTATTTTTATTTATATTTATATATAGTATAAAAAATAAATTTTTAGCTAAGTTTAGGGATATAGTAAAAAGAAAAATTGTCCCTTTGCAGATTGCTTTATATATAGGCACAAAGCCTTGTCGTTGAGTAAGCAGCTTTTCAACACTTCCAATTCTACCTTCCTCGTTAATTTTCCTTTTGTCCCAACTCCCAACTTTAGTTTATATTCCTAGCACTTTTTTCTCATTTATGACTTTACAAAGAGGCCATGGAATTGTGACTTAAATTTTATTTTTTCTTCTTGATTTTGACTTGCCCATTGAACCATAGCAAGTGAATGAG